AATGGCGGGAAAAACAGACATGTTCTCTCCTGCCATGTGGCCTCACCTAACTAAAAGCTATGGCAAATGTGCTATTCATTGCTGAAGGGCATTAGGGGTTCTAGGGGCGTCTAGGTGGCTCAGTTGGTTAAGCGGCTGACTTTAGCTCAGGTCAGATGGTGATCCCAGGGTCATGGGATCAAGCCCCGGTTCAGGTTCTGCGCATATAGCACATAGCCTGCTCGGGATTCTCTCTCCCTCAATCTCTGCCCCGCCCCTGCTCGCACTCTCTCTCTCTCTCTCTCACTCTCAAATTAAATAAACTTTAAAAACAATTAGGGGTTCTGTGATTACAGGTAGTAATAGATACTGGGGTGGGCAAATAGTAATTCTGCCTGCCATTCTAGGCTCTATTACCTTACTCATCTTTTTGTCTCTCTCTACCTGTTTCACTGCACCAGCAGAGGCCTAAGAGATAAAAGGGATAAAAAGAGGAGAAATGTAGCATTTGAACACTGAGGTAAAATTCTTTGTCCTACCTTTTACTTCTTTATTCTTTCAACAACTAGCCCCCCTTTCCCCCGCCACCAAAGTTACTAGGATGCGATGTGCAGGCAAAGAAAAGGGAAAAGTTTTAGACCTGTTTCTCAGTGTCACTGTGAAAGCTGAATAAAAGTCCTCGCAAAGGGATTTGAGGTTTTGGCTTCCTATGCTGTGTTCAAAGTCTTATTATTAGATGAGCACTAAGTTAATGGGCTTTTCTTAAATGGCAGCTGAGGAAAGACACTTATTCAAAAAGAACACGTGTGGAGAAATTGGAAAACACCTTGATGGGTCATCAAAATTATCATCACCGAGGGGCAGATGGACCCTGTGTGCCTGCCTACAGATGTGATATCCTAGGGACAGAGCTGAGGACATGTACTAGAATGTAATCCTGAGAAAACATCAGGCAAATCCAAAATGAGAAATGAGGAACATTGTATTAAACAAAAGCTGGTGAAATTCTCAGTGTCATAAAAGACAAAGGCTGAGAATTGTTCTAGATTAAAGGAGGCTAAGGAAATCTGACCAAAAAATAAAGTACATGATTCTAGAGAGGATCCTGTACAGGAAAGGGGAAAAAACTGTAAGGGCCATGTTGGATCAACGGACAAAAATGAAATATGGTGGGTAGATTAAATTATTGAGTAAAGTTTACATTTTTTTGAGCTTGATAACTAAACCATGGTTGTGTAAGAAAATGTACTCATTCTTAGGAAATACATACATAAGTATTTATGGTAAGAGGCATGATACAAGCAACTTACTCTCAAATGGTTCAGGAAAAAAATATATACATGTATATACAGAGAGAGGGAGAGAGGGAGAAAACACGTACACAAATAAACAAATGAAGTGAAATGCCAATAGCGGATACCCTGGTCAGAAGGTATCTAAGTGTTCTTTGTACAGTTCTTTTCTTGCCAACTTTTCTGTTAAGTCTGAAATCCCTCCCACCCCTGAAGAGTGAGGACAATAAGCAGCATGCAGATTACGTTAATCCTGCACCTGTCTAATGAACTGTTCTGGATGTTTTATTTGATTCTCTGCCAGAAAATCTAACGCTTAAGTTTTCAATTGGGAGGGAAAGAAATGACCCCTGTTAGATAACATTTATTCAGGACACTTCTGTCAGAAAAACCTCAGGCAGGCCAGGCTTTTTTCTTCTGTTCACCAAATGTATCCAGGAACCTAAAAGATACCATCTGACCGAAGCTACTTAATTGGGACACGCACTTAATCACCACCGGACTTTTTCCATACAGGATGACCAAATTAGCCTGTGGCTCTATGCAAGGATCCCATTTCTCATGCAGCTGGGAATTAAGGGGACTGGCATTCTGACAAACCACCAAAGCCAAGGGAGTGGAAATGATGCTAGCTTAGACTTCAAATGCACTTCAGTGACTCTAGATCTCCCCACAGAAAAGGAAGAAAGTATGTTACCCCATATCTACGCTAACTTCTTCAATTCTTGAGATCTAGTGGCATTCTTGTTTGCACTATACAAATCTCACATCATAGTCAACTCATATTTTACAATTAAAACCAGATGTGTAAAGGCATAGATCAACAGCAGTAAATAAGTTTGGGTTCTTCACAGCCTCTTACAAAGGAAATGTCTTATGATCGTCAGCTGTAAGTTTGGCTTTTAAGAGGTTTTCTTAATGTTTATTTATTTTTGAGAGACAGAGAGAGAGAGGGAGAGAGCGAGAGAGAGAAAATGAGCAGAGGAGGGGCAGAGAAAGAGAGGCAGACAGAGAAGCCGAAGCAAGCTCTGAGCTGTCAGCAGAGTCCAACGTGGGGCTGGAACCTACGAACCATGAGTTCATGACCGAGCCAAAGTCACACATTTAATCAACTGAGCCACCCAGGTGCCCCAGTTTGACTTTGAAGGAGTTAATAAAGACAAAAAGAAACTTCGAACTATTTATTCCTACTTGTGTTCATTGTAAAGTTTGTTAAACTTTTAATTCATCACACTGTTTTTCTAAAGCTATATAAAAACACGTTCTTCAAAGAAATGTTTTGGGGCCCCTTGTTAGTTCAGTCGGAGTGCGCAACTCTTGATCTCAGGCTGAGTTCAAGACTCAACACTGGGTGTGGAGATTACTTACAAATAAAAACTTGAAAGGAAGGAAGGAAGGAAGGAAGGAAGGAAGGAAGGAAGGAAGGAAGGAAGGAAGGAAGTTAGGGTGTTTCTAGAATGGATATTCAACCTTAAAAACATACTTTGGAAAAAGCTTTCTTTTAGGAAGACCGAGGTTATTCCTAAGTACCGAGGCTATTTTAAAAAATAAAATAGGTACCTGTGGGCTTTCTGTGTATATACAAAAGCCAGCCTCAGCACCTTGAGCCTGACAGAGCCATCCAAACGACAAACTTGCTGAGTCACATGTTAAGCTCAGTTGGCAGTTTCCTCTAACAACCTCTTAAGTCTGCAGATTTAAATAAAAAATCTGAGCTATAAAAGTCAGATATATAAATAATCAATTTCTGACAAGTCCTTCTTTAAAAGATGTAACAATGAGAAACTAAAAAGCAACAAGTAGTCCCAGCAAAGGCTCAGATTAGGAAATTGACTCAGCTTTTAGAGACAGAGCACAAAATCATCCCTATCAGGATGCCTATTTTTAATTACTTGTTTGCCTAGGTAAGGTTATTTGCCTAAATTAGCCCCTCTTCAAGTTTCTAGGGGAAAAAAGCTATCCACCTAGTGCTATTTCAATTTCTAGCTACAAATTTATAAAAAAGTATAGACACACACATACCTCCAGTATTATATTCCTGAGTAAAATAGATCCTAAGACAGAGTTTGCCCAACCCACTAATAATAAACATTTCCCAGGGAGCTTTCCAAAATAGCGAATTTCCTAAGCCTCACCCCAGATATATTAAATCAAAATCTGGAATCTTTGTTTTAAAAAATGATCCCCCACGATTCTAATAATCAGCCAGGTTGTAACTTCTGGTTTAGGGCACCTTCTACCATAAAATCACTATAACAATAACCTCAGATGGCAAAGATAGTTTTATTTTTTCCAATGTTTATTTATTTTTGAGAGACAGAGACAGAGAGAGAGCATAAGCAGGGGAGGAGCAAAGAAAGAGGAAAACACAGAATCAAAAGCAGGCTCCAGGTTGAGGTGTCAGCACAGAGCCCAACACGGGGCTTGAACCTACGAACCATGAGATCGTGACCTGAGCAGAAGTTGGACACTTAACCAACTGAGCCACCCAGGAGCCCCCCGTTTTGTTTTACATGTAATGATTCAAAATCCAAAAGATACAAAAAGATGACAAGCCTTTCTCACTCATCCCCGTCCCCCAGCCACCCACCTACTCTTCACTGGCAACCAGTATTACCAGTTGCTTATATGTCCTTCCAAAGACCCTTTATGCGTACACACGTACATAGATATTTCCTTTAAATAAGAACAGCAGTGAATAATACATTTTGAACAAATCAAGGTTCAAAACAATGTGTATCTTGGAGATCTTTCCCCACAGAGAGCTTCTTTATTCTATTTTAACATGCCTAGTATATGCCATTTGGTAGATTTATCATACTTGATAAATCAGGCCCCTTCGATGGACACGTATGTTATTGCCAATGTTTTGCTACAACTCATAATCTTGTACATGTTATTTTGTACATACGCAAGTCTATCTGTAGAATAAATTCCTAGGCATGGAAATGTTAAATCAAAGGTAATTTTGATAGATATTGCTAAACTGCCCTCCCCAAAGATTACAATTTTTATTCCCATTTGCAATGCGAAATAGCAGTTCAGATTTTACATCAAACTGAATACGAACAGCCAATGACTTACTTTCTAAATGTTGCTCTGAAAATAGCCCACTTAGTAGCCCAGTGATATAACAAATGACATTCTGTAGACAACTTCTGTACCGTGGAAATCTGCATAATTTTACCATGGCTATTAGAAAGTTTTCTGATTATTGAAACCCATGAAAAAGAGGAACTAAGAGAAACGAGAAGCTGAGGTTAAGGCCATTCTTGCCATCTTTAGCTGACATGCACACACTGAAAAGTCTTTTTCCCTACTTCAGCAGAAGACTTAAAATTTTCCACTTACTACCCCAAATGCTGTTCATGTGAAAAAGTAACCAATTGTGCTATTTATTATTTTAATCAACAAAAAGCTCTACAAGTGTTAGATTTACCAAATCTTGCACATGAAAACTTTACTAAATAAAGGCAGGGTGTCCAAAGGGACTCACTCCATAGCTAAGGGGGAAAAAATGTCATGCAGAAGAGGGCATGCTAAAGAGAGAATGAGTTAGAGAAATACAACTGGAATACTCATCTCTTTTATGATGCACAAGGAATACAGAGGGGAGAAAAAAGGGAACACATTTTTAACTAAAACAGTTGACAATTTTATTTTCACATTTCACGATACAAATGGAAATTGCTTTTTTTTTTTTTTTTTTTTTTTTTTTTTTTTGTCCCACTACTCCCTTGCAAAAACTATTCTCTGTTTGATAGGAAGGGGGAGCAAGTCTTCCTTGTCATGCTGTTAGAAAACACCCAGAGTCACAGCACCATGATCTCCTGGTGAAGAACAAGTAATATAAAATGGATATAAAGAGGTTCCTGTCTCTCCTTATCTGTCTGGTCGAGTCATTCCTGGCCGAGTGGGTACCATCATGGGACGGGCGGGAGGTCTCATCATTGGGGGCCCAGGCATCATTGGCATGTGGCCTCCCATAGGCGGCCTCATTCCAGGAGCTGCAGGACAAAACAAAGAAAAGGGAAAAAGAGAGTCAGAAACTACTACTTATGAGAGCTTAATGGGACTTCAATTAAAGACAAAAAGTAGCCCCCCTGCAAAATGCTGGAAGAAAGACATACTTGACAAAAGAAATGCAACAAATTCATCACATCTGTAAATTACTTAGACATTCTCAAACAAAGAACAAAGGTCAACACAAGAACCATATGGGAATCATGATCTAATGATAGTAAGGGGGAACTATTAATAGAGTGCTTTCCAGAAACCACCAGGGACACTAGTTCCCTAAATTGACCTTTTCTCACTCAGGGAAATTCACAACTAAGTCACATGTTACCCAGGCAGCTCTCTTAATCATTTCTATCCACCATATAACCAGGAGCTATTTCATGAATGTACACAGGCACAGAGGACAATCTTACCACTAAGCGTTTGTTCGGAGTTGTAGGAAAGGTGAGCAGGAGGCCCATGCTGAGAACCTGTTAGTAACCATACTTCGCTCAAGTCAAGAAAAACAGGCAATAATGTGATTTACAACAATTAGCACACACACACAAATCTAATTTTTCTAATTCATTTTAGAAACTGTTAAGGACTTTTTTGAAGTGTCCCATCAATACACCAGCCAAATAAATGAGCCAGGGAAGGGAGGGCAAGCAGAGGTGGGGGTTGGGGAGGAGTACAGGCAGCTTCACAGAATTGGCAATATTCTACTTCCTCAGCTGAGTGGTGGGTTCACGGGTATTCATTTTATTATTATGCCTCATGGTTTTCATGTTATAGATCTTCTCTTCAAATATAAAAATTTACCTAATTACTTACTAAACCATTTTGATGAAAGGTTTGTAATAGTTCAAGAGAAAACTATATTCAAAGCCGAATACAGCCTTATCACAAAAAGTAAAACACAAGTATACGCAAAGACACAAAATTCAACAGGTATAAATGTTTTTAAGATCAATTTCAAAAGGAACAGAAAATAATACTAAACTTCTAAGGATCTTATTAAAAACCCCAACATAACATAACCTATATTCAGCATTTCCTAGAAGAAGCTCATCTAGACCAAAGACTGAAAACGAGGCACCTGAAAACTTGTTTACTTTGGTCTCCACAGTACATTTACTTTCAATCAGTTGCCAACACTGGCAACTAAGAAGTCTAATTACTAGTAAGTCTAGATACCCTTTTTCAACTTTTTGTTATGGAAATATTCAAACATACACAAGAATGAAAAGAGTATAATGGACATCCATGTACCCATCATCCAGCTTCCATCATTATTCACCCATGGCCAACGTTCTATCTCATGCCAACCCATTCTTATCTTTGCCCACCCTGAACTAATTATTTTAATTCAAATCCCACAGTATTATTTTATCCTGGTGAAAACAACAAAATACTCAGGAGAACTGGCAACACCAAGCCTGCATTCTCAAATGTCAACTGCAGGCTGAAGCTAAGTTCCAGAAGCCTTACCTTTAGGTGTGTCATGCATTCCCAGTTCACTATATCCCTAAACCCTCTAGGAATTTGAATTTGTGACCTTGATTTAAGAATGCAAAAGAAGGGATGCCTGGGTGGCTCAGGTCAAGATCTCAGGGTAGCAAAACAGAGCTCCAGGCTGGGCATGGAGCCTGCTTAAGATTCTCTCTCCCTCTTCCTCTGCCTCTCCTCCACATGCAGAGTGCACACAGGCTCACTCTCACTCTCAAAAAAGAGGGAAAAAAAAAAAAAAAGAATGCAAAAGACGTCATCTAAATCACTTTGTTTTGGCTTCAGTTCATAAGGAACTCTTACCTATACTCTACTCCTATCATTCTAAATGATACCCGTAGCAAGCACAGTGAATGCTTCTAGCTAAAAAGCTACTCTATGTAATACCTCTGCACCTTGTCTTACCAGTTGAGTTGTAGGCTTATGTCTATTGTATTTATTCTTATTATAGAATTTAACTTCTGCAAGTCAACAAAAATGAGTATATAAAAAAGAACTGTTTCCATGAAACTATGTGGATATTTAGAAAAACAATTATCCCAAAAAGTGCTCACAAATTTGATAGGTGAGAGAATTGTAAAAGATTGGAAGTAGATGGCCTCACAAGGTTTCTAACCTTGAAAGAAATAGAAACTGAAGTTGGTAAAGGATGCATTATGGGTACGATTTATCGGTTTAGGCAAGAAATATATGGTGCTCCAATCAGTAGACTCGTTTTCAAAGCAAAGACCCTGACCAGGTATCAGAAGAATCTGCAAATTAGTACATATTTATGTTTATGTTAAAATACAATGTTTGAGGTGGGTTTTTCCCCCCTTCCTGAATAAAGGACTAAAAAGGGCTAAGGCCTTTTTCATACACTAATTTGGCCTAGTTAACTAAAGATTGAATCAGCAACAAGAGCACCGCTCCAGATCAAAACTGAAAAAAGTAGCAGTACAATTATTTACCTACCTTATCCCCTTTGGAAAACCTCAACTACCTTTCTCTTCATTATAAATGACCACAAGTCAGGAGGAGGCAAGGAAACAGGAGGGAGGGAGAAGGAAAAAAAGGCAGCCTTATCCCGTTTTTAGTAGCACAAGGCCTTTGGATATCATCCAATTATACTGCTAAAACACATATTTATTTTTCTTTATCCTTACAGATTCACCAAGTATAGTTTACTGCAATAACACATTTAGACAATGTATTAAGAATTCCATTTAAAAGGAGAACTAAAACACAATGGAGCATCCTAAAAGGAAAGAGATTCAAACTTACCAGGTCCCACTGGCATCATCCCAGGAGGAGGAGGGCCCATCATTGGCATCATGGGAGGGCCCCCCATATGGGGTGCTGGCATCATACCAGGGCGAGGAGGGCCCGCTGGAATAACGAATGGGGGCTGAGTTTAAGATATGCTTACATATTAACATTTCCTCTTCTATGAAACTAGTAGGGCCTCATGGCCCAGCCCAAGTTCTAGAATAATAGACTTCTTATGGTTTCTTTTATAACACTAGATCCACAAAAATCAATATGCCACAAAACTTTATGACTAAAAAACAAGGACAATACTGCCTAGACAGAAGTATAAAATGAAGTCAGCACAGGTTAAAAAAAATTCCAAAAGTTAAAATATTTTTTTAAAGGGTATTATGCCTTCTGTAGAGTTCCTGACAAATTTAAGCCACAAGTAAGTAATTTCAGATCTGTTTTTAAGAAAATCAAAACCTCTGGGGCGCCTGGGTAGCTCAGGCGATTAAATGTCCAACTTTGGTTCAGGTCATGATCTCAGAGTTGGGGAGTTCAAGCCCCACATTGACTCTACTGTCAGCACAGAGCCTGCCTCGTATACTCTGTATCCCTCTCTTTCTAACCTCTTCCTTGCTCTCTCTCAAAAATAAACATTAGAAATTTTTTTTAAATATATATCTTCTTTTACTTAAAAAAAAAATCAAAATCTTTAAAAGATTTTTCGGAAATACACAGACGTGTATGCAGAGATATTCCTGATAGCATCATTTACAACAGTTTGGAATAACTTAAATGTCCCACAATAAGAAAATGGTGAGGTTAATTATGGCACATTCATACTACAGATTCTACTATTAAAAATAATGGGGCTGGGTGCCAGCCAGCCAAGATACAGAATAAGACAGACAGGTAACCTGAGAGCTGCTGTGACCCAAGGCCTGACCAGCCCCAGGATGGTGGAAGCCCAAGAAAGGTTTGGTGGGCCATTAGTTGTCTACCTGCATTAGTGTGCAACTATTATAAACAGCCCACTTCTGTTCATATCCGTAGCTACTTACAGGACTGATTTTAGGTTTCTGAATTCAATTTCAATCCTAAACCCTTCCAGGAGAGCCACGGAACTTATGGCCTAGTTATCTCCTTCTGTCATTTAGAAACAAAAAACCTCGGAGAAGAGAGGCCTTTGATTCACCCCACTTTCAACTGTCCAATTCTTGATTTTCCCAAGGTGTATATATTTGTGTTAGGTGGGTTAGGAGATAGGAAGAAATGCTGAAGAGTTGATCCGCTACACTTTAATCTTTCAGTGTTGGGTTCAGAGCAATAAATAATTTAATGTACTCATCAACACCTCTTCATATATTAGCTCATCTAATCACAGGTACATTCTGACCTTTCCACTGAATCAACTGTCTTGAACCTGCTTGGGATGTCATAAATACAATATCCTAGTAATAATGCAATCAGAAGGTAACTCTGCAGACATTTCAGAAATTATACCACTGATGTTTTCTTTTACTGTCTATGTATTCATTCAACGGGCATTCAAAAGCCAACTGTAAAATAATCCAACAAAATCAAAGGATAATCTGCACCTCCTTAAATTATAGCTGTTAAGATAAAAATTCCATAAACTTACGGAGACTAGGGGGAGGTGGAATCATCGCCCCTGCAGGAGGAGGAGCAGAGAATGGAGTAGGAGGAATCTTTCCTTGCTGAAATGCAGCAGCTTTGGAGAAAAAAAACACACACTAATAAGAACTCAACAACACATTTACGAAAATATCCCTTTTCTTCCATTTCACAATGATTTCACTCTAAAAAGTATTCATTTAAGATTACTACATCATGGCCTCTACAGTTTTTAAATCAACTGTAAGTACTTACCAGCAAAAATTACAATTAACTGGTTTACTGCTTTGGGTTTTCTAACCTATATTTATTTAGTCAATATTGCTATGGCTGAATTAACTATGAGAGCCTGGAGTGAAGACCTCTTACCTACCAATGTCTTACCAAAGACAAGCAATCATCTTTAATCTGTAGATGTGGTTTACAACCAATTTGAACCATTCAGTTCTGTTTGAAAAATGTTGGGAGCGCACCCGGGTGGCTCAGTAGGTTAACCATCTGACTCTTGGTTTTGGCTCAGGTCATGATCTCACAGTTTCATGAATTCAAGCCCCACATCCGGCTCTGCGCTGACAGCACAAAGCCTGCTTGGGATTCTCTGTCTCCTCTATTTCTGACCCTCCCCCCCTCACGCTCTCTTAAAATAAATAAATAAACTTAAAAAAAAAAAGTGTGATACCTGCCCAAAGGTCAGGCTTTACAAAACTTTCCGTCATTATGGTTTACCAGTTTTGAAATTAATGTACTGAGCGAAGAGACATGAATGAGAAACCAAAGATTTTAAAGAGCCCACCCTGAAGGAAGGTATGATCTTAAAAAATGTCCAATACAATCAACTTTTTTCTTTCTGACAATATGAGGCACAAATGAAAAGAAATTGAAGATCATTTATTTGGGCTTTACAAAAAGTCACAAATAAATACTTAAATATATACTCATACCATACTGGAATTAAAATTAAAAATATGCTGGGGCGCCTGAGTGGCTCAGTGGGTTAAGTGTTCAACTCTTGATTTTGGCTCGGGTCATGATCCCGTGGTTCATGAGATCGAGCCCTGTGTCAGGCTCCAGGCTCACTTCTTGTGTCTTGAACTCAATTAACCTAAACAAAAATTTTCCTAATTAAACAAAAAGAGTATGGCATGTCCAACAGAGGTCCAAAACATACCCAGATTATTGTGTCACATCAGCTTCCTTTTTGAGCAGTTGTCTTTGTCAGGACTACAAGACTAAGAAACTGAGAGTCTCTCAGAGTCTTTGAAGGTTAACTATAAACCCACCTCTCACCTTTTCCTATTACAAAAGGAAAATAGTTCTAAAACCTATGATCACTACAAGGAAGATTTCACATAAATTGGCTACAAAATCTGGTCCGTGTCAATAAAGAATCATTAGACAATTCATTCTTCTCTGCCCCGCTTCCCAATGTAATCAATACCTGATTGCTCTAACCTCAACAATTAATATTAATGTGTTCCTATATCCCCTGAGAAACTAATGACCTTCTAATTCTTTCATTCAACACACCAGAATGTTCCTATTTATCAGTCAGAATAAGTTGCTTCTGTGCAAAACAACAGAGAGACAGGGATGAGAAAGAATGGGACCATTCTCCCGCATCAGAACAAGAGACTGAAACATACTTGTTTTGTCGATCAGGCTCTGGGCTTGCTCTTCCATCCATTTCTGATAGTAGTCTTTCACATTCTCTTTGTGTTTCCTACCACTGCAGTGTGTCTTTCTCACAGATGGCTGTAAAACAAAAAGGTCAGATCAGTCGCAGAAACAAGTTTCCCAAACTAGAAATTTTATAAAGCCTTTCCTTTATGTAAGTAGCCTGGCTACCTCTAGACGCTTAAGCTGGGTGCTAAAGCATTATTTATAAACATTATCCAATAACACACTGTGGTAATTTACCTACTATATTATCTAAACCAGAGGTCCGCAAACTATGGCCCACGGGCCGGCCACCTGATTTTGTAAAACAAATTAGTGGAACACAGCCACATCCGTTTGTGCATGTACCATTTTTTTCCCCTACAAAGCAGAATTGAGTTATACTATTTTTTTTTCCCTACAAAGTCATCACAACAAAAACTATATGGTCCACAAACTTAAAATAATTACAATGTGGCACTTTAAGGAAAAGTTTGCAAACTCCTGATCTAGAACATAATGCCATTTTAATGCCCTTTCTTAAAAAAAATTTCTTTTAATGTTTATCTATTTTTGAGACAGAGAGAGACGGAACATGAACAGGGAGGGTCAGAGAGAGAGGGAGACAACAGAATCCGAGGCAGGCTCCAGGCTCTGAGCTGTCAGCACAGAGCCTGATGCGGGGCTTGAACTCATGGATGGTGAGATCATGACCTGAGCTGAAGTCGGATGCTTTACCGACTGAGCCACCAGGCGCCCCTTTAATGCCCTTTCTTAGGTCATTCTATAGCAAAATAATATAGTCCACATACATCTAAACTATACTGTTTATAAGAATATCTTCTTTTAAATGACTATGGGTCTAGAATACAGACTATGTGAATCACATACAAACTTTTGTCTCTAGCCCACTAATCCTTTTGTTCTTTAAGACCTTTACCAAGGTGAAACTGATATAAGATAAACTCCACACAGTTATAACCATATGTTTAAGTTAACATTTATTTAACACCTACCACATACCAGACACCATGCTATGTAATTCACAAGCAGTATCTCAATCATGTTATAATCACATGTTCATGGTACAATGGAATATTAATCAGAAAGAAACAATCACTGATACAATATGGACAAATCTCAAAAGCATGCTCAGCAAAAAAAAAAAAAAAAAAAAAAAAAAAAAAAAAAAAGAGAAACACAGAATGTATACTATAAAATTCCATTCATATCAAGTTTTAAAACCAGTAACACTGATCTTTCATAATAAAAACCAGATCAGTCGGGGCCAAGGGTACAGGGTACTGACTGCAAAAAACCACAAAGGAATTTTCTGGGGTGATGGAATGTTCTATTATCTCAACGCACACAGCAAACTGTTAAGTATTTGCCAAGTCATCACACTGTACACTTAAAACGTGTATTTAATCTAACATAAAGTATAACTCAATAAAACTGATTTAAAAATCACAAGGTTGGGGGCGCCTGGATGGCTCAGTTGGTTAAGTGTCCAACTTTGGCTCAGGTCATGATCTCGCGGTCCATGGGTTCCAGCCCCGCATCAGGCTCTGCACTGACATCATGGAGCCTGCTTCAGATTCTGCGTCTCCCCCTCCTTGTCTCTCTCTGTCCCCGTCCTGCTAGCACACTGTCTCTCTCTCAAGAATAAACTTTGGGGCCCCTGGGTGGCTCAGTAGGTTGAGCATCCGACTTTGGCTCAGTCATCATCTCACAGCTCGTGGTTCGAGCCCCGCATCAGACTCTGTGCAGACAGCTCAGAGCCTGGACCCTGCTTCAGATTCTGTGTCTCCGTCTCTGTCTCTGCCCTTCCCCCACTCGTGCTCTGTTTCTGTCTCTCAAAAATAAACAGTAAAAAAATTTTTTTAATTAAAAAAATTGTAATTTAATTTAAAAAAAATTTTTAAAAAGCCATTTCTGATTACAGCCTCATTAATGCGAATTTTTATGGTACATAATCAAATGTGTCAACACTTGGAAGATTTGTGTAACTGAGTGAACCAATATTCCAATATTCATTTTCCATATGACCAGAGCATGTTACAAAATCCTGTCTGGTAAAAGATTCACTCAAAGTGCAAGACAGACCAACAAGTTTTGATGTAGCAGAGTGTGAAAAGTCTAATATGGTTTAAGTTTCCACACTACAGCTAACCATGTGTTGAGTCTGGGTGTAGTAACATAAAGTATTAAAGAATATCCAATATTATCTAAAAAGGCTAGTAAGGTACTCCTCTTTTTTTTCAACTCCTTATCCACGTGAGGCTGGATTTTTCATATAATTGAACCAAAACAAAGTGCAACAAGTTTAATCCAGAACATAAGAATCCAGTGGTCTTCCATTAAGTCGGACATTACAGAGGTTTGCAAAAAGGTTACAGCAATGCCATTCTTCACACTAATTTTTTCTAAATAGCTACGTTCCACTTTTATTTTACTGTTATTATTTTATATATAGGCTCCACGTCCAGTGCAGAGCCCAAGGCAGGGTTTGAACTCACTACCCTGATATCAAGACCTAAGCTGAGGGGCGCCTGGGTGGCGCAGTCGGTTAAGCGTCCGACTTCAGCCAGGTCACGATCTTGCGGTCCGTGAGTTCGAGCCCCGCGTCGGGCTCTGGGCTGATGGCTCAGAGCCTGGAGCCTGTTTCCGATTCTGTGTCTCCCTCTCTCTCTGCCCCTCGCCCGTTCATGCTCTGTCTCTCTCTGTCCCAAAAATAAATAAACGTTGAAAAAAAAAAAAAATTTAAAAAAAAAAAGACCTAAGCTGAGATCAAGAGTCAGTCGCTTAGCTGACTGAGCCACCGAGGAAGCTCCTATTTTTCATTTTAAAAGGTTATTTGTATCACAGATAAAAAGTTTGTTATTGTTACTTTCAAATCAATCAGTATTTTTAAAATTGTAGGTTTTAAATACAGCAAATACAGAAATATTTGCAAATATTAATAGTTAAGTCAATATAAGCCCTGTAACTTTTTTAATTTTTTTGAGAGAGAGAGAGAGACAGAGTGCAAACAAGAGAAAGGCAGAGAGAGAGGGAGACACAGTACCTGAAGCAGGCTCCAGGCTCCAAGCTGTCAGCACAGAGCCCTATGTGGGGCTCGAACCCATGAACTGTGAGATCATGACCTGAGCTGAAGTCAGATGCTTAACAGACTGAGCCACCCAGGTGCCCCTTAAGAACTTTTTAAGAAATTTTTTTTAATTGGTAATTTTTGGGGTGCCTGGGTGGCTCAGTTGGTTGGGCGTTCGACCTTGGTTCAGGTCATGGTCTCCTAGTTCTGTCAGTTTGAGCCCCGTGTCCAGCTCTGTGCTGACAGCTCAGAGCCTGGAGCCTGCTTCGGATTCTACGTCTCCCTCTCTCTGTCCCTCCCCCACTCATGCTTTTTCCTCTCTCTCTCAAAAATAAACATTAAAATAATAATAATAATAAAAGAACTCAGTAATTTTGAAGAGTGTAAAAGGACCATGAAACAAAAAATGTTTGAGAGCTGCTGGCATAGAAACCCTAAAGTTATACTGTCTAGGCTCTTCTTCCAGCTCTGTACAACTTACTAGTTTAGTAACATCCAGTCAGTCATTTATCTATACTCTGCCTCAGTTTCCTCCTCTGTAAAATGGAGATAATGCTAACCACATAGGCTCATCATGAGCATTAAACAACATGATAGAGGTAAAGCATCTGGAACACTGCCTGACACACAGTAAATATTCAATCTTAGTTGTTATTATTTGTTAACCACTTTTTAATTAAATAGAAGTACAGCACTCGGGTTTTAAATTTGGGCATTTCTTTCCAGTTTAATCAATCAAATGTCTGAATGCCTTGTCACAATCAAATATTTGAACTTTAGGACACGTTCCTACAATTTTTACTTGTCATGTAAATTTTCTGCACCTTCAATTCTGCTACAGTTTTATCATTTTGGGTCTCAACTCAAAACACTAACTGCTGGAAGGCCAATCATTTCAAATTACGAAACCAGTTACAGGAAGGAGACAGGAAAAGAAACCCAGGTTATTTTTTCCAAGCAGGAGCACTTAAAGCTCAACAGCATGAAAAGCACACATTTATACCCCCCCCCAAAATCTTATCTTTCACAGACAAGGTGTTTTGAAACTGAAAAGAAACACTACTTACAGAGTCATGGGTGAGGTATGTGTCGCAGTAGTCACAATAAAACCTGGAAAGGGGTGGAAGATAGAGAAAAAGACGACAACCAGTTAACAGATGCCCATCCACGTGGGCAGTTCAACGAAGGTAAAATATAAAAAGACCTATGCACGATCCCAAGACGTCAATCTAAGCGACCTGACACAAACCAGGCTTTTCTGTTGCGTTGCGCGGGGTCGACCTACACACACCGAAAGACGACAGTATCCAGAACTCCCGGGCTCCCTCCCCCACACGCCCTCGCTTCCCGGGAAACTTCAAGAGCTAGAATCCGCTCTGCACTCCCCTTCCTGGGCCACAATGGCGACCGTGACCGCGAACACCCCCAGATTCGAGCCCCCACTCACTTAGGCATGTTGCTTTGCAGACCGTTGGCCACTCCGTCCCGCGCCACCCGGAAGTGACGCACACAACAAGCGCCGACGCCGCGGAACCGATGAGTCAAACGCGACTCCAGGAACCCTACCCAGTCGTCCAATCCGCCGCCGCGCTGCGCTGCGACCGCCTTACCCGCTGCGGCCGGTCGAGGGGCGGGGCTTTTCTCTTCATCCCATCACTTACAGCTAGGCGGGAAGGGGTGGTCGAAGGGTCCCTGCGAGGTTCAATCCACGCTCATGTAATCCTGATTCTTGATGCTTCCCGGAAGCATGGTATTCATTCTTTGGACGACTTTCTAAGGATCGCCTGCTATGTGCCAGGCCCTGCTATAAATGCTGAGAGAAGACAGCAGTGAACAAAACAGACAAATGTCCTGCCCTCGTGGAGTAGGCCCTAGGAGTTGGGGGAGACAAATAATAAAGTCAGTATGTAGTAGGTTAGATGGAGTTGAGTAGAGGAGGAGCGGGAGTTGGGGAGTGACTTAAGGAAGGGAGAATTTCAACTTTAAATAAGACAGCTTGCTGAGAAGGTGACAACTGTGAAATAATAGGTTTCCTAAAGCAATAAGCTTGGTGCAAGCGATTTTACATGGCGTCTCTTTTTTAAGTCTCATTAACCCTATGAGATGATAGAACCCCCAGTTTCAAGTCCCATCTCCCGCTTCCTAGCCTTGCTGCTTGAGAAAGTTATCTAATCTTTCTGAGCCTCATTTTCCTCGACTGGAAAATAATGGGTAATAATTCTTACTTGTGGGGCTTAAGGAACGATTAAATGTGAAAATGCTTGTAAAATGTTTAGGGCAATATCTGTACATACTAAGTCCTCCACATATGGCAGTTATCTTTTTACATAAAAGGATATTGATAGAAATATCTTGTCCACAGATCTAACCTGTTCTAGCAACAGGGCCAAACTTTCAGCCTGGTCAATCAGACTCCCAAATGGCCTGACCGCTCAGAAAAGGGGAATGAATGTTGGGAATGGAGAGGTAGAGCTTTTGATTCTACTGTTCCATATTTTCTGGTGGTGGAGTTGCAACCAAAATAATAATAATTGCTACCTTATTTGAATGTTGACTATGTCCTAGGTGCTTTGAATGCATTAATTTATTTGATCTATTCAATAATCCTATTGTTCACATTTCAAATGGGGACACTGAGCTTCAACAAGGTTAAGTGTACCATAAAGATGATTTTCTCTCTTAAAAGTTAACTGCAGGATGAAATTATCAGGCTTTCACTACTCTAACAGTGGTCAATGTTAGCATTATTGATGGTGGAGCAATTGGGTATTACATATCTCCTGCTAGGATGCTAACATTAAATAGACATAGTCAACTGTGACCTATTCTTACCAAAAGTGTTCCACTTGGATCCAATCAAGTTCTAGGATAGACAAGAGGATCAAGCTAAAGAAAGCAAAAGGCAGCAAACAACCAGAAGGTGGGAGAGTCGCTGGGACAAAGGGCCCCTTTCCTTCACCAAGTCAAGAAAAGATGTCATTCTAGATTAAAATGTTTTTAACAGACATAACAATCAGATGTAGTATACAGTTCAGGGTTAGATCTGGTTTGGACAAACTAGCTCTAAAACACATTTTAAAGAAAATATCTGGGCCTTAATATTGCAGTTCTAGAAACCCACCTTTGTGTAGCACCCGAAGTTGATTCTTTTCAATTTTTTTTTTTACATTTATTTATTTTTCAGAGACAGAGAGAGACAGAGCACAAGCAGGGGAGGGGCAGAGAGAGAATGAGACACAGAATCCAAAGCAGGCTCTGGGCTCTGAGCTATCAGCACAGAGCCCAATACAGGACTTGAAGTCACCAACAGCTAGATCATGACCTGAGCCAAAGTCGGATGCTTAACCAACTGAGCCACCCAGGCACCCTGAGTTGATTCTTTTCGGAGGGGATAGAATTGTCAACTACGTCTTGGTTTTTTTCCCCCCTAACTTCCCTCTGTGCTGATCTTGCACCTGCTTTACCTTCAAATTCATTCCTCACCCTTCCCTCACCCTTTTCAGTATGGTGGTGTGGTGGTGGGGCCTCAAAGGCTGGGAATCTTGGATTCCTGTGCTGGTTGCCTTCTAGGCTGAGTTGCTGGGCACCATCTAAGGGAGGCCTGAAAATGGAGAGATTGAGGAAAAAGGCAGAGTACCCCAATCTCAGGCTGTCTCTTCCGACCTACCTGGCTCCAACTTCCAGCAGTTCCAGGCCTTGGGCTCTGGTAATAAGATGTCCTTCTGTCCCCCAGCGTGAGGGCAGCACTAATTTCTTGCTCCTCTCTGAGCTACTTCACTTTTCTCTTTTCACTTTTTATCTCTGCCAACACTTTTTATAAGCCAATTCTCTGACTTAAATTCCCTCTGTTTTAAAGACTTAGAGCGGTCTCTGTTTTCCAGGACTCAAAGCATGACCTTACTTCCAAGTTCCAAACGGTATCTCCCCTGAGTCTGGTCTGTGGGCCTTAATATCTGTAAAGCAGTGCTTTTCACACTTCCTCTAGTGTCCCAAGCAACTGGAGGGTTCATTTATCACCCTTATTCCCCCAGGTATAGGGTGAGAATCCCAAGTGCCTACCTGAGCTTGAAATGCCCTTGAACTGTTATATGATATGTTAAAAGCTCACAGTGTTTGCAATCTACTTTATAAATAACATATTTATATTTTTTATTTCTCTTGAGGTATTTTAACACTTAAAATGTATTTTATTTATTTTTGAATAAGTAATCAGTACACATGGTGGAAAATTAGAGAAGGACAAAAGTATGTTCCCAAACATACACACCCTTACCAGTTTCTTGCATATCCTTCCAGAGATAGACCACGTATGTGCAAACATAAACATAACATTTCCTGATTCTATTTCCCAATACTGCATAGTATTTTATTGTATAGATGTACCTCAATATTAACCAGTCTGCTACTGATGAACGCTTAAATTGTTTCCTGTCTTTTGCTATAATAATGATGCTGAAATACACAGTTAATTGGCACATAGATTTGTAGAGTGGATTTCTAGAACTAGAATTAATATGTTAGAGTTTTGCATCTGTAAGTTTGAAAAATATTGTAAAATTTCTCTCTGTCATGATTGCATTTAAGAGTGCTTTTTCATCTTTTCAATCTAATAGGTTAAAAGTGTCATTGTGTTATAATTTTTATTTCTCTTATAAAGTTGAGCATTTTTCTTCATATGTTTAAGATGCTTAAAGAATCAGTGCGCCTGGCTGGCTCAGTCAGTGGAGCATGTTACTCTCAATCTTGAGATTGTGAATTCAAGCCCCATGTTGGGTATAGAGATTACTTAAAAATAAAAAATCTTAAAAAAAAAAAAGTCTTAAGAAATCTACAGAGCCCTCCATTTAGATTGCTTTTTCATGTCCTTTGCCTTTTCGCCTAGGGTTAGCCTCATCCTTTTTTTTTTTTTTTTATTCATAGAGAACTTCTTAGATACTAGCAAAATTAGCATTATTATAATATGAGTTGCAAATATTTTCCATTTGTTAATTGTCTGGCCTTATTTTGGGTGGTTTTTGTCATGAAAAAAACTTTTAATTTGTATTTCAGTTCAACTTATTAATCTGTTCTTTTACAGTTTCCAGGTTTTATGTCATACTTCCCCTTTCTGAAATTGTTTTAATTCCATGATATTTTTTCTTGTTCTTTTATTATGTCATTTTTTTCAGGTTTGTATCTTTTTATCTATCTGGCATTTTTTTGGTTGTCTTTAATTTTCTTTCTTTTTCTTTTTCTTAATTTTGAGAGAGAGAGAGAGAGAGAGAGAGCACGAGCAGGGGAGGGACAGAGAGAGAGGAAGAGAGAGAATCCCAAGCAGGTTCTGTCAGAGTGGAGCCTGACCTGGGACTCAAGCCCACGAACTGTGAGATCATGACCTGAGCTGAAATCAAGAGTCAGATCCTGAACCAACTGAGCCTCCCAGACACCCCTATCTGGAATTTGTTTAAAATTTTTTTTTAATATTTATTTTTTGAGAGAGAGAGAGACAGACAGAGACAGATTGTGAGCAGGGGAGCGGCAGAGAGTGAAGGAGACACAGAATCCAAAGCAGGCTCCAGGCTCTGAGCTGTTAGCACAGAGCCCTATGTGGGGCTCAAACTCACGGAACATGAGATCATGACCTGAGCTGAAGTTGGATGCTTAACCAACTGAACCACCCAGGCACCCCTGGAATTTGTTTTAAAGTGTGAAACAGGGATCTAACCTAATTTTTCTTTTCATAAACAGGAAGCCAATTATCCCAGCACCAGTTATTGAATAATTTGTTATTTTTTCTTTTTCTTTTTTAACATTTATTTATTTTTGAGACAGAGAGAGACAGAGCATGAACAGGGGAGGGTCAGAGAGGGGGGAGACACAGAATCCGAAACAGGCTCCAGGCTCTGAGCGGTCAGCACAGAGCCTGATGCGGGGCTTGAACTCACGGACCAGACCGTGAGATCATGACCTGAGCCGAAGTCGGACGCTTAACCGACTGAGCCACCCAGGCACCCCCGTTATTTTTTCTACTAATTTGAAATGCTACTTTTATCATGTACTAAATTCTTCTATAAATACTATTTCATTTCTGGGCTTTTGGGTTGTTCCTTTGGTTGGTCTATTAATGTGCCTCTACCAACTGTCTTAATTGTTACAGTTCATATTTTATCTATAGTTATTTTACCTTTTTTAATGTTTATTCATTTTTGAGGGGGGGGAGGGGCAGAGAGAGACAGAGACACAGACACCAAAGCAGGCTTCAGGCTCTGAGCTACCAGCACAGAGCCTGATGTGGGGCTCAAAGTCACCAAGTGTGAGGTCATGAGCTGAGCCGAAGTCAGACGCTTAACTGACTGAGCCGCCCAGGCGCCCCTATAGTTATTTTAATATAAAAATATTTTTCAATTACCCAATTAAATTACTAAAGTTTAACCCTTCCAAAAAAAAAAAATTCCCAGCATTGACTCATATGTTACATTTGTCATGTGGTTTGACACATCCTCTGGTACCCTGTTGTACATCCCTGTAGGATAAAGTTGCCAGCTAAATACATCATGGCCAGTTAAATTTGAATTGCAGATAAACAATGGATAATTTTCAGTTGAAGTATGTCCCATGAATTTTTTTCCTGTTTTTGAAAACCCTACTACAGGTTACTCTATTAAAAAATAATTATCTTAGGGGCACCTGGCCAGCTCAGTCAGTAGAGCATGCGATTCTTGATATTAGGGTGGTGAGTTCAAGCCCTACATTGGGTGTAGAGATTACTTAAAAAATAAAATCTTTTTGGGGCACCTGGGTGGCTCAGTCGGTTGAGCGTCCGACTTCGGCTCAGGTCATGATCTCGCAGTACGTGAGTTCGAGCCCCACATCGGGCTCTGTGCCGACGGCTCAGAGCCTAGAGCCTGCTTCAGATTCTGTGTTTCCCTCTCTCTCTGCCCCTTCCCCACTAATGCTCCATCTCTCAAAAATGAATAAACGTTAAAAAATTTAAAAATAAATAAATAAAATCTTTTTAAAAAAAGAATTATCTTAGTTATATGTGACAAAACCAACTTAAACTAGCATTGGCAAATAGTTACCTATAAAGGCCCAGAAATCAGGGACATCTCAGGGTAGATTTATCTCCAGGTGTGGTCTTAAAAAATGTTACTTGGTCTCTTTCTCCCCATCTCTCATCTCATCTCTGCTTGACTGCTTCTCTTTGCACATTGGCTTCATCCTCCCACGTTGCAGCCTGGGTTCCTCCATGCAACCAGGTAAGACAGCCTCAAATATCTCCAAAATTCCATTCTTCTAGCACCAAAATCCAAGGAGGGGTCTGAATGGCCAGGCTTGAGTCAAGAGTCTTCCTTGGGTAGGGATGGGTGGAAACTTGTAATAACAGTCCCATTGAAACCTCAAGGGGTGAGGCAGGAGTATCCAAGAGTTGGTTTGGGGGGTGGGGTACTGTTTTCAAGGAAGAAGTACAGAAAACCATCGTGGACCAGAAATAGTGTGTACAACTGCCACCGTGGGTCGTACCTAACCCAGTTTGGAAGTAACCAGCTTAACATGGTAATTTCCATTGGAACCACCAGAGGACTTGAGTCCTTAGTGCCTTTGTAACCTATACCTCCCTCCATCTCTCTCTCTCACATCTTTCCCCTGTGCTAAGGCACTGAAAGTAATATTCAGTTATTTAATATTTATTCAATAAATGCTTGCTGACCACTGGCCTGGTGTTCAGGTCAGTGTTGGGCACCATCAACGGGAAAATGAAGAATGTGCTGTGCCCACCATCGAGTTTAGTGTACGTGGTAGTCATTTAAACAAATAACTGTATAGCCTTATATGGTAAGAACTATGATAAGACAACTTCATCAAAAAGAATCACCATGTAGTAGTAACAAACACAACTACTAGAGCCAAAATGCCTGTGTTTGAATCCCAGGACCATAAACTATTGCTTGGACCTTAGGGAAGTTGCTTAACCTCTTCCTGGCTTAGCTCCCTCATCTGTAAAAGGGAGACAATAATAATACCTACGTCATGTGATCATGGTTGTAAGGACTGCATAAGATAATTCTTATAAATCATCTAGCACATGGTTAGGCATGCAGTAAATAGCGAATAATGTTCGCATTGTCAGTAATAAGAATCACTTCTAAAAACCCAGCTCTCTTGAATTTCACACACATCCAGGAATCCTTCCAGGCCTCTTCAGGGTCACACAAGGGATGAGCTCTGGAACTCAGAGTCATTTCCCCTCTCCCTTCCAATAAGAGGCTTCAGCCCCACTTTGCAGCCATCAGTGGCTGCTGACTCTTCTATCTACTAGGCACCTGTCGGAAGCCACAATTCTTATTCCCTTCACATACCTCAGGGCCCTGAAAGGCAGAGTAGAAGCTGAATCCCAGAGATGTACTTGTCTCTGCACTCTGACCCGTACTTCCAGCTCAGAGAGGGCTGATCTGTTGATAGATGCCTCCCTGGGGAGAGTCATACAACTATGGCTTTATCCCCTACCTTTTCTTCCTGAACTGAGACCTCACTGCCATAAAGTAGATTCAGAAGGCTAAAACTTGATCTATTTGGAAACAACAGCAGGACATAGGGCACCAGCTTTAGAAGCTCACACCAGGTCTTCCAGGTGGTATGAACATAGCTATGGCTGAGAACTCATGACCATGGCTGGTGAGAAAGGGAGATCCTCCTGAGGACTTCACCCAATCTTTAGCCCACTCTACCCTGCAAGCGAAATCCATTGAGAGGCGACCTAGCTGCTTCTTTGCAAGGCCTGGAAATAGGTCTTTGCCACCCAGCCTGGGCAACCCTAGGACCTCAGGTGCCCATTTGGCACCTTCAGGATAGCAGCATACCTCATCCATTTTTGTCTGGCTGGGTGGGGAGAAAATGATTCTTCGTTAGTTCTGCCGTGATTGTCTTGCCTCCCTCATGGTAGACAGAGGGTTCACTGCTGGGAATAGAAAAGACCAAAACTCCAGGGTCTGGGGGACAAGTTCTTTTTCTGAAACTCTTTATTAATCCAGGGCAGTTGCATCAACAGGTCATGGTAGCAGGAAGAAGCCTGTTCAAGCGCAATCTACAAGGCAGAACAGGTTTGGCAGGGTGGTTTCGAGTAACTCTTTACTGAAAAGGAGCAATTACTCATTCTTGAAATATGTCTTCTCTTAGATGTATTTTCTCTTTGAGCCCATTTTATTAGCACGGGAAGCTTTCAGCCAGACTCTAGGGGTGCCAAGTCGGAAAGCTGGAAATAGAAACATAAGTGGCTTTTTTGTTGCCTAATACTTTAGTAGGAGCTGAGCTCATGGTTTGGAATGGTGTGCGCAAGCACGAATGCATGCACACGCGCGGACACGTCATTCTGCCATTCTGCTGCCCCAGGGCATGGTGTCTGGAGTGACTGGCTGTCACTGGAGAAAAGGGAAACACGTTTATTAAGCACCAGTTCGTGTTGGCACTAGACAGTGTGCTTTCATTATGTTATCTGATGGGATTTGATTTTGAGGGGTTTTTTAGCTGATGAGGAAACTGAGACCCAAAGAGGTGACATAATCTGAGCAAAATCGCATAGTTAATACACGGCAAAGACAGGAGCCCAAATTATCAGATTCCAGAGCTTACGTTCCTTCCATTGAACACACTGCCTATATGTATGAGACTTTTGAAATCTTGGCCTGAGTGTAACCTGCTCCCTGTAACCCTCTCACTGCAGTTGATGAGCCTGAGTTTTTCAAATGAGTAAGCACCAATGAGTAGCAAGGCGTTCCACATACAAGGGACAGCTCCATGAGAAGTTAAATCTCATTGTATGCAATTTATTCTTCAATAAACGTGACCTAAAAAAAAATGTTGGGTATAGGGACGCCTGGGTGGCTCAGTTGGTTAAACATCCAACTCTCGGTTTCAGCTCAGGTCATGATGTGACGATTTCATGAGTTCAAGCCCCACATTGGGCTCCATGCTGACAGTGCGGAACCTGCTTAGGATTCTCTCTCTCCTTCTCTCTCTGCCCTTCCCCCACTCACGCTGTTTCTGTCTCTCTCATAATAAATAAATAAACTTTAAAAGAAGAAAAAAGATGTTGGGTATAAAATGCACCTAGAAAACAATAATAAAATGATCATCAACTCAATTAAAAAGTACAAACGAGGGGCACCTGGCTGGCTCAATGAGTAGAGCATGTGACTCTTGATCATGGGGTCATGAGTGCAAAGCCCACATGGGGCATAGAACTCACTTGAAAAGTGATAACAATAAAATATAAATCTTTAAAAACATACAACTGAAAAGGAAATATAGATGTCCATTAAAGATCTGAAAGGATACTCATCCTCACTTATAATATTATCAAGCCAAACTAAAAGTCACTGAGATTTATTTATTGCTTATTGGATTGGTAAAGATCCAAAAGATTGATAACCTGTAGGTTAGCCATAAGTGTGGGAAAATAGGAGCTTTCATACATTACCGGCATTGGGATAACTCCTATTAAGGGCAATTTGGTCACGTCTATCAAAACTCCATGTGTACATACCCTTTGACTCAGCAACTTTACTTCTACGAATTTATTTTACAGTTACAGTTGCAGGTATGCAAAATGACGTACATACGAGGTTTTTCACTGAAGCAATGCTTGAAAGAAAGAGCAAAAACCTGAAAAGTTAAATGTCCATCAATAAAGGTGTGGATGAATAAATCAGCACGGGAAGCTTTCAGCCAGACTCTTAGGGGTGCCAAGTTGGAAGGCTGGAAATGGAAACATTAAGTGGCTTTTGTGTGGCTTAATACTTTAGTAGGAGCTGAGCTCGTGGCTTGGAACGGTGTGCACAAGCGCGAGCGTATGGACACGCGCGTGCACGTCATTCTGCCATTCTGCTGCCCCGTCCGTGCAACGGAATACTATGCAGGCGTAGAAAAGAATGAAAAATACTTTTGTGTACTGATATGGAAAACACTCCAACGCATATCACTGATCGAAAAAAGCAAGATGAGAGACGCCTGGGTGGTTTAGTTCGTTAAGCATCCCCCTTCAGCTCAGGTCATGATCTCGACCTGCATGTGGAGCCTGCCTGGGATTCTCTCTCTCCCACGCTCTCTGCCCCTCCCCCACTCACGCTTTCTCTCTCTCTCTCTCTCAAAAATAAATCAACTTAAAAAAAGAGAAAAGCAAGAGGCAGAACAATGTACACAGTAGATACCATTTATATAACAAAGGGAGATACTCCATATGTATAATATCTTATAAATGCTTCCAAAATCTCTTAAAGGATACGCAAGAAAACCAGTAACAGGGGTTATCTGTTGTGGAAGGTAAAGGTGGGAGGGATATATTTCACTGTGTACCTTTTCAAAATTTTGATGTTTACACTTCATGAGTTTTTTAAATTATGGTTGTCTTTAAAGTAAGGAAAGAAAAGAAAAACACTGTGGCACTGGGGCATACCACATGAGCTGGCTGCACTGTGGGACCGTGTCCCCAGTCCATGCTCTACAGCCTGCCTTCTTGAACAGACGGACTCTTCGTTGAATGACTCAAATACCATGCAGCCTCCTAAACTGACACCCTTGAACCCACTCCCCCCAAATCCTTGTGATCGTGGGAAGGAGTGCGGTTGCTTTGTTAGGTGTTCTCAGTTGCAAGTGATTCACCCTGGTTGATGACTCTAATCTAAGCTCCCTCGACAACGTGAGGCTTATTCCACTTGAAAAAGCGACTTTTAGTCTCGAGATTTTAGTCCTAAGAACCCAACGCTCTCGTTCCTTATCTCTTAGATGTCCTTTAAAATGTTTCATTTGCTCACCAAAAAAAGTCTGTTTGGCTCTTGGCCTTCTGAGTTTAAAGGAGAAAAATTTGCTGGGGCACCTGGGTGGCTCAGTCGGTTAGACGTCTGGGGGCACCTGGGTGGCTCAGTCAGTTAAGCGTCTGACTTGGGCTCAGGTCATGATCTCACAGTTTGTGAGTTCAAGCCCCGCGTCACACTCTGTGCTGACAGCTTGCTCAGAGCCTGGAGCCGGCTTCAGATTCTGTCTCCCTTTCTCTCTGCCCCTCCCCCGCCCACACTCTGTCTCTTTCAAAAATAAATAAACATTTTAAAAAATTATAAAAAATAAAAAAATAAACGTCTGACTTAGGCTCAGGTCATGATCTCCAGGTTCCTAAGTTTGAGCCCCGCATCAGACTCTGCACTGACAGCTCAGAGCCTGGAGCCTGC